AAAAAAAAAAAAAAAAAAAAAAAAAAAGATTCACTTGCAGTGTTGGGAGCACCTTTCTCTCTCATTCAGTGCGAGCTTTGTGTGTATGCATGTGGGGGGGTGTGTTCCGACTCCATCCTGATTCCAAGTCATGGACCATTAATAATGTCTAACTGCAAAACTAAGGAGCCACTAAATATTCTGCTATTTATAAGTAATCTGTTGCCCAAGGCATCGCGCTACTTAATGAAACCTTGAATTAATGTGTAACTTAAGAAATAGATCATTCTACAAATATAGGCTACCAGAAGCATAATCTAAGCTGTTCTGTTTACTTCACTGCTGGGTTGGGGATGAGAGAAGGAGCAAATGAATATAAATAATAATACATCAAATACATTGAGCCAAGCACTGTGCAAATTACTCTCTATGCATTACCTCTTGCGGTTATTATGATAACCCCATAGGATTATTATTATTACTAGTCCCATTTTACAAATAAAGAAACCGAGGCTTGGAAAGATTTATGTAGCTAGCCCAAGGCCACGCAATGGAATTCAAGTCTAAGTGCGTGTGGATCTTGGGTACTGCATCTTTGGGGTAGAAAGAATGAGGTGAAGGGTGGACCCCTGTGCTCAGGTAGCAATTCATTTGCCCAACGCAAATGTGGTTTGTTTGCTTGATGGGCTAATACTGATTGGTTGGAAAATGCAGTGGGTAAAGGTGAAACTGAGAATGATGCAGGTTTTGTGCCAAAGACCTTGGGAGAGAGGTGGAGAGCTGAGTGCTGAGTGGGCTGATGATGACCGCTAGCTGGAATGACCTGTTCGACAACCCGGGAGGCGTGGGGAGAACCCAGTTCAGGGGGTTCCAGGTGGATGTGTGGTTTCTAAAGGGTGCCCAAGCCAGGCGCACAAAAACTGTCTTGGACCTTTATCTGGGGAGATCCTCCCAGTTCATCTGGACTGACCCTCGAGAGCCACCTGATGAACCACATCCTGTAGAGCCACTGAGGACCGGCTGAACCTGCCCGCATTCAGTGCCAGAGCCTGGGGTGAAATACAGAGCTCTGTTCCATGGGCCTCAAATGCTTCCTGGTCACTCTGGGAAACCCGTGAGCATGTACAGAGCCTGGGAGTAAGCTCGGCCTAACCGCCTCCTACCGCACGGTGTAAGACCTTAAAGCTGCAGGAAGCAGAGAGGATGTCAGGAACACACTGGGTGGATGGATGGGTGGGTGGGGGGCCAGGCGAGGACGCAGGGGAGGAGCATGTGAAAGGAAGGGTGTGGGAGAGGGAAAGGCCGGGGTTCAGCTTGAAGCCAAACCGGCTGCAGAAATGCATCATTTAGAAGCTCTGGTCTTTGTGACTCATCCTTCTGCAGATAAGACTCATCCTGGGAGAGTTGGCACAGACCTTCAAGATGTAGACCCCTGGAGGAAACTGGAGCCCACAGTCATTACCCTCCTGGCTCATGCTTCTGGTCGGTGATGGCTCTTGTAATTCCTGGGATCTGATCATCCTCCTTCTTCTTGGATGTATTCAGCCAAGCACCTGCCCTGTGGCTAGCACCGTCATTTTATTCCATGGGCTTAAGAGCTAAGCTCAAGCAACCCAAAGACAAAGGAGCTCAGCCAGGGGCCCTTGTTTATTTAGGACCGGGGGCTGCAGACTAACTTCAGGATTCTGGAGCCCCTGGGCCTCACGTTTTAGGGGCCTTGGGTTCTCATGTCTGAGGGGAGGGAGGTAAACCCAGGTGAAGGGGGCTGGCTCCCAGGATTGGGATGTTCCCCTCTGCCTCTGTCTTGGGGCTGATTTGCCGGCTCCCCGATCAGCCGCTGGAGGCTTTTCCAAGGCCCCCCTGCAAGAGCCTGGGAACTGTCCAGCTAGCAGTCTGCTGAACCACAGGGGCAGCCACCTTGAGGCCGCCAGCTGGAGAAGGCCCGTGGCTGGTCGTGGAGATCTGCGCCTGGAGGAGAAGCAGCAGGCCAGGGGCCCAGAGGAGAGCCGCTGCCCATTGCCGTGCTTGACCTGTTAGCATTTGCATTCCTGAAGTCATGGTTGGTTAATTAAAAATAAGCTCCAGGGCCTAAGGAGGCCCACAATGGAGTGGGAACGTCTCCTTGATGCAAAGCGATTCCATTTCCAACTAAAGTAATATAAAATGGTAAAAGGGACAGGCTGTTAAAACACCTCATGTTGTCAATGGGAGCTGGAAGGCTCTGAAAGGCACCGGGGCTAACCATGGTCCCCAAGCTGGTTAAGAGCATGGCCAAGGTCGGATCTCGTCCCCGTGGTATCCCACTCTCTGCAGAGAGTGGATAGTCCACACTCAAGTGTAAACACTTTTACCACCAGTGGCCAGTGGGTAGGGTGTGTCTCTATCTTTTTCTGATTTTGATGTTACTGAGTGCTGAATATGTGCTGGCGCCTGTCCAGGTGCCTCATATGTATTATCTAACTTCTTTTATCCTCTCAAAAATCCCTGAGGCAGATGAGGAAATGGAGGCAAAGAGAGGTTATGCGATTTCTCCTCAGTTGGCCAGTGGCAGAGCTGGGACTTAGACTCAGATAGTCTGACTCTAAGGGCCCTCTCTTGACCACTGCACTGTCTGGTCTCTTCAGAAATCTTTGCTTGAAAGGCCAGGTTGCACACTTGGGCTTTTTTCTTTCTTTTTTTTTTTTTTCCAAGATGGAGTCTCGCTCTGTCACCCAGCCTGGAGTGCAGTGGCGCAATCACGGGCTCACTGCAACCTCCGCCTCCTGGGTTCAAGCAATTCTCCTGCCTCAGCCTCCCAAGTAGCTGGGGCTACAGGCATGTGCCACAATGATCGGCTAATTTTTGTATTTTTAGAAGAGTTGGGGTTTCACCGTGCTGGCCAGGCTGGTCTCAAACTCCTGACACAGTGATCCGCCCACCTCAGCCTCCCAAAGTGCTGGGATTACAGGCATCAGCCACAGTGCCTGGCCCCACTTGAGCTTTTATATTTGCAGAGAGTAAAAA